AACTGAATTGGTCATAATCGAAAATTTCAGAGCAATTGTTGCGAACACCTGGAGCACTGCTAAAGACTACATGAAAACTGATAATAGTTTGAAGCCAACGGTGTTCAGCTCAACAATAGTATGCACCAAGTAATTCACTGCGAATTGAAAACGCTTCCAACTGGATCGAAAGATTAGAAGATTGTTGAAATTTTTGAATAGTTCAAAATGAAATAATCTATTCGTGATGATTCAGGAAACTAGAAATAGATCCGAATGATGCAACTTATGAGAACGGCACAACAAAACAACAATTACACATCATATCGGCATTAACAAGTTCATATCCGCAATCAATTTCTATTGTATCATGCAGTATTCAGTCGAACAAAATTATTCGAAGCGTAACGCAATTGATTACAAATCGACGTTAAACCACTGCCATGTAATAATCCTCTTTTAACTATAATACGCCATTCAAGCGTGCAATCGCTCTAAGCTATCACAATTTATTGCAGTTATCAGTTTCAAATACGGTAACGCTACATCCTTTCGAAAATTTTTACATTTTTCGAAATCTCAACATCTCAGCTCAATACCTCTGAGTTCAACACCTATAAGACGGTTATACTCGACCGTGCGTCCTCAAGAAACAGAAAAGACAGTGGAACAGATCAAAATAAAAGTGATGCCTCTGAGATCGCTAACATTACTGAATGATCGAAGGATGATTTGACAAGATGGACGATATTTTTAAGTGAGGAAGTTATTTGTATGAGAAGGCAAAAGTATTAAGTGATAACAACGGGACGTCGGCTTGTAACTGATCAAATGAAAATACAAAACTAACATTTTGCATTTTTATGCGCACTCAGCTGACCCGAATACTGCTCGTTGAGTCTATTCAGGCGTTTTGCGTGTGTACTGTACAGATGTGAATTCTCTTCGGCTGATTGCAATTCCTGAATGGACGGATGAGAATTAGATGATGGATGGATAATATGAAGTAAAAACTCCGTTCGATTACTCGATTCATTGCAGATACATTCCTTTTTCCAGTGCTCTGTTGTGAGCGTTCAGTGCTCAGTGCGATAGAATTACAAAAACTAAAACTTCAAGCATTTCCTGAGCATATATTCGCTAAACGAGAACAGAAACGTACATCTTGAAGTTGTTTCAACTGTGCAGCATCCTCACATCCTGATTCAATTTCTGCTTTGAGTCGTTCAACTTCATTCGAATAGAAATCTGCGTATGAACTGAAATCAACGA